TATATGCTCTATAGAGTTAAAATAGATAATGTTCTGTGCAGCCCAAACATGCCAGTGGCTCTGAGTCTTATTGGCAAAAGTGAACTAGACATTACCAGTAGAATCCATACTATCACAGTAATTAGGGAGTGACATGTTAAGGAAATTGCAAAGTTTATATTGTAATTGCTAAGAGTTTGCAAAAATAAACCAGAAAGATACTGCATCATTTGAAGTAAGTGTGTTGGATACATTACTAGGCTGGCAAAATTTTAGTACAAAAATATTTAAAAAGAAGGAAAAAATCGGGTTTTGAACCTTCTGTGGAGTCTCCTTATTCCTACCACTAAATTAGGCGCTTACATAAAATACAATTACCTTTTCTATACGATAAGCAATGTGTCTTCTGGAAAAGCACAGAGTTTAAATGTGAGAAACTTTGAATCCCATTGTCCCCACTGGCTCCATAGTTCTAGGCAAGTTGTGTAACTTTCTGAGCCTCAAGTCCTCTCCTGGTACCAGCAGGTGTTAAATAAAGAACACCTTCCCCTCCCTACCCCAGGGTTGTTGTAAGGATCAAATGAGTTCATATGTGCAAACCACCTTGCACTGTTACTATGAGCAATGTTAATGTCCTTCTCCGTCCTGGGTACTGAGTAGGTGAAGTAGTTAGGAGGGTAAGTTTATGACTAGAAATTGAGGGGACTTTTTTGGCTGAAGACAACAAATCATCATTATATTTATGTTATCTAGCAGCTGCTTTTACTAATGCAATGAAGATTGTTTTACAAAAAAATACTTTTGCAATAAATATAAGCAAAACTTATATCATCTGGGTATTCTCGATATTCCATAACCCCTTGGTTATTCCATAACCACTTTCCCAGTTTTTACTAAAATAGTCTTGGAGGGGGGATGAATTTAGCTTTTTGCTTCAGTTCATCTCCATTCTGATTTTTTTTTTCTAATTGGTTTATAGCACCTGCATTTGAATTGAGACTTGAACTGGCAGTGCAGTGTTTTGCATCGGGTGCAGTGTGGGCTGTGGGGCCAGCTGCTGCTTCTGAGTCCTGGCTCTGCCTGCTTAGCGATGTTCCCTGGCAAGTCACTGTGAGGGGTAACTGCACCCTCAGCAGCCGTGAAGTCCTGAGCTCGTGGACTAGCACCTAAGGGGGCTCAATAACTATTTGTTCTCACCATGCGCCAAGCGGCTGGCAGAGCAGCGGGGCAGACTCCTTGGGAGATCTTCCGCATTTCCATTTTTCTCCTTTAGTGGCACTAGACGTTGGGCAGTTTGTTTTCAATTAATGCTTTAAACTGCCTTTGTCATTTGTACTAGGAGAGCAGGAGAAGGCAAAGCATCAGATATTTCCCAGTGGGTGACTTGCCTCTCAGGGCCATCCTGAGTAAGTCAGAGTTGAAATTTTGCAAACACTTATCTATCCTCCCATCTAGAAAAGACTCTCTAGCCCCAGGGACCCTCTGGGAGACTTCGGGCCAGGCTTCTGCCTGTGTCCCTTCAGCCCCTGTCCACCCAGGCCAATAGGAAGGTAGGGAGACATGACACATTTGGGGTTTCAGTAGAATATGTGCTGTCAGGGTGGGAATGGGTGGTTTCCTGGGGTTGCTCACTTGAATCAGCCTAATTGTCAGTCTCTGGAATCCATCATCACTGTGTTCATGCTTTACAGATTCTTCAGGTGATCCCAGTTTACAGCGATCAGTTTCTGTTGCAACTGGACTGAACATGATGAAAAAGCAGAAAGTAAAAACTATTTTCCCACACACTGCTGGCACTAACCACACCTTGCTCAGCTTCGCAGAGGGAGATGTCATCACACTGCTCATCTTTGAGGAGAAGGACGGCTGGTTGTATGGAGAGCATGATGACACTAAAGTGTAAGTCTCAGAGAGGATGCCACTCGCCGGAGTCACCCCATCTGGCCCTTCAGAGACCTGCTGTCTCTCCTGTTAGCAGCAACTTGTCTTGGTAGACATGTTAGCATTTTAGTCAAAGTTAAGTCCGTAGTTTAGTTGTAGTTAACTAGAGTCACACTGTTCCCGGCCATCTTCCTGGTGTGTGTGCATATATAGATAAATTTGATGCGTATATAGATTAGATCATATGAAGTCACCTCTGAAGATAAAAAAAGATTAAAAAAAAAAAGATTTATTTTTGTTTATTTATGCATACAAGAACTGGGGTGTAGGCCAGAGTACAGGGGAAGGGGGTGAGAGGATCTACCAGAGACAGAGTGGGGAGCAGAACAGGTGGATCTACTGAAATACACTGCTGAGGGGAGCAGCAGGTGAGACAGGAGAGGTCTGCTGCACCATGTGGGTCAGCTCCCTGGCCAGGGATCGAACTCAGGCCGCAGTGGTTGGGGATAGCTTGATAGTGCTGAGACTTTAACCCCTAGACCACCAGGGAGGCCCGTGTATCCTTTTTTTAAAATGTATATCCTGATTCCTTAAGGGTAACCTGCACAGCAGATATACTTTTAGATTTAGCACAAAAATGACTTAAGTAGCATCATCATCATTTCAACCATGAGAATATGCTCAAGCCTTACTGTAGATTAAATATGTTCTCTATGTGGATTATTCAGGTATTAAGTAAACCAATATGGAAAAATGAGAAAAAGGCAATCCATGTAAAATTAATGCTGTATATGAAATGCACACTATGTATTTTATACCAAATTTGTCACCAAGTTGCTTCTTAGCGCCCTGATTGCTCTCTTGTCCGCCCCTGATATCACAGCAAGATCTTTTTTTTCACTCTTCACCTGCAGAAGGGGTTGGTTCCCATCATCATATACAAAGTTGCTGGAAGAAAATGCAAAGGAGATTGTGAGTGTGCCCAAGCCAAGGTAGGATTTGCCTGTGGCTCAGATTCCCCAGGGACTGAAATCTCACCTTTGACATAGTGTTCTCAGGAGTGCCAGAATTCTATCTAGTGTGTAGCAAAAATACCCTCAGATCTTGCAGTGAGTGCTACACACAGGGGTTTCCTTTGTGATTTCTGTTGTCCACAGGCTTTACATACTGACTGTTGGAAAGAAGCAAGACCCAGACCCCTGCCCTCACTCACCCTCCCTCAGCCCTCTGGAGCCCTCACTATCTCACACCACTTACTGGGCTAAATCCAAGGCATGGTTTCCATCTAGATCTTACTTAGCAGCCTCTAACACTCTTCTTCTGAAGTCTTCTCTTGCCTTGGCTTCTTTGCACTCTATCTTCCTTCTCCTTCACCAGCAGCCCTTCTCAGTCTCTTTTGGGGCCTCTCCTGCCCAATACTTAAACACAGGTTTTCCATAGGATCCCTCCTCACTCCTTTTCCCTTTTCCATCCTCCCTGGGCCATCTTGCCCTCCCAAGTGAGTTGAACTGTGCTGATAGATAGTGCAGTTAGCTCCTCTGTGCCAGTAAACCCCAAATCTGTACTCTAAGTCATCATCTTTATCACTTAGAAATTTTCCAGAAGGCTTTACATTAATCAGTTCACTTGACCCTCACAGCCTTTAGAACTAAAGTGGAGGAAACTGAGGCACAGAAGGATTTAATGACTTGCTCAGGACACACAACTAAAAGAGGGCGAGCCAAGGCCAGAAGCCAGGAGGACCACCTTCCTAGGCTGCAGCGTGACTATATATTGGGCAGTTCTAGTTGGCTATCTCGTGGGGCCTCAGGAATGACATGTCCAAACTGAACTCATCCACGGCATTCCTCATGCCAAAGAATCCCTCCTGACCCACCCAACTGTCCTCACAGCCCTTGACCACCACAGACACCTCCCAGGGCCTTCCCTCTGGCTGCTCACTGTCATCTATGTATTCTCAGCCCTAGTGGAATACATCAGCTGCCATTGTGCCAAGAAAGAAAACTAAGCATTTTTAGGATGTTAAGATTGTGGGTTATTTTTTAATCTAAAGTACTTGATGCTTTTACTAAGACTTTCCTGTTCTTATTGATCCCCTTGAATGAATCAAAAGCCAGCCCTAATTAAGCTAGTTTTCCTCTCCCTTTGTCCTGTCTTATAAAGAATGTGTTGAATGTACCTTTATAAACCAGCCAAAACAAAAGCGAACAAGAAAGTGAACCAGAAGCCACCTTTCTGCCCTGTGCATGTGTGTGCCGCTTGTGATCTCCTCCTTCCTCACCCTTTTTGATAATTCATCTGTGGCCATTCTCACCGTCAGATATTTAGGATGTTTGGGATTCCAGTGGCAGGATCTTATCTGACTTGTATTCTGCTTTTGGTTGCCAGCCCTGCGCCTGTGAGAAGCATCAGCACAGTGGACTTATCTGAGAAGAGCAGTGTTGTCATCCCCCCACCAGATTACTTGGAGTGTTTGTCCTCAGAAGCAGCTGCAGATAAAAGAGTAGATGTTTCCAAAAGTACTTCTACCTTTAAACCTCCGGCATCCAAACCAGAAACCACATCTCCTGTGAGTAAAGCTGCAGTGCAATGTCCTGTGTGTCCAGACCCTGCGCGGTGGTCTCTGGAGGTGGGGCTGTTACTCCCACCACCTTCTCCCATTTCCCCTAAATCCCTTCTTCATCAGGTAACCTTTCAACTTCGTAACTCCACTCTGTCTTTTGTTTTTATTTTATCTGGTAAATGATCATTTACACACCGTAAGTCCATGGCTTGCCAAATTTTGTCAGGTTCACGCTCTTCTTACTGTCTGTCCATGACGGCAGATGTTGAGTCACTTAATCACTGTTGTCTGCATTTTCTTCCATTTTCTTATTTCCTGAAGGTTAAAGGTGATAACTTTATCTTTACATCTTCAGAAAATGTTGGCTTTGTACCAAATGTCATATAAATACTACACGTGTACCTTCTCTTTAATCCTTAACATCCCAGTCAGAAATGGAGGATGTAGATGGAAAAGTCACCTCTCATTCCTGCAGTTACTGTGTGTGCTGAGAATCAGGCTCTGGTGAGGGCTCTGGAGACAGGGAGGTGCACACAGTCTGTTCCTGGCTTGGGTGGAATTTACATTCCAGTGATAGGGAGCAGATAATAGGAAATACACAAACATAGCCATGAAAGAAGCTATGCAGAGAACTAAAACAAGGTGAGATGGTAGAGGGAGTGTCAGCCTGGGCAATGGCACAGGTGGGGTTTGCTGGGGAGAGGACGCTGAGATTAGCATTCAGGGTGCTTATGAGGGATGCCTTGTAGTGAGCCTGTGAAAGCAAAAGGAAGGCAGCAGTTGGGCGAGTAGACTTTGGACTGTGGTGCCTCCACCATATCGCTGCTACCGAGAGCCCTGTGCCTGGCACGGCCCTTGGACCTCTCTGGATTGGGGAAGAGGGAGGCCAGCATTTCTATACCCATGTCCAGGGTGAGATCTTCAGCCTGGGAGATTCCTGAGGAGCACTGACAACCAAGGGCCCTCCACCAGCAGCAGCCCTGCCCCAAAATAGGCCACACAGGCCTGAAGGGGCCTAGGGGCCTATGACAGTGTCTGCAGCAGAGGGCATCTCTGAGAAGGTGGTGTCTAGGTGAGACCCACAACAAGGAGCCCACTGTGCAGAGGTCAAGGGAAACAGCCTCCCAGAGGGAGCAAAGCTGAAACCCCCAGGAGGACAGATGCTCAGCAAGCTTAAGGAACAGAGGAGGAAGGGATAGTTTCAGGGTGAATGGAGTCAAGAGGAGTCTTGCATTTAGATGTTTTCCTTCAATATAGAGTTTACCATAGAGAAGAAGCAAATGATGATGACTTAGCAAGCAAGGAGCACTGCGTCTGGGTGCCACTGGGCAGGGAGGTCCTGGGAGGTCCCGTCTGATGATATCCTTTGTCTGTGGCAAAGATCACCAGGCAGCAGAGTGGTGCAGAATGTGGAAAAGAAGAGCTGTAGAGCCAGAGTCTTGAAGAGTGAGGACATGAGCCTGTTCCAGGTGGTGCAGGAACAGAAGACAGCCCTTTTTGAGTCTGGCTATGATTGAGAATGAAAGTGTCTGAGTGGGGTTTCTTCAGCAGCATGTTGCTGCTTGGGTTCATAGGGAAAACTAATTAAAAGTTGGGGTTACCAGAGAGATGGTGCTGAAGGGGGGTACTTGAGGGTACCCGTGAGGATGGGGTTGGTGCCCCAGACTCTGGAATCCAAGCTGGGTGGGGAAGCAAGTGGGACATGAAAGGCAAGACAGTGGGAAGGAGCCGGCAGGTGCACTGGCAGTCCCTGCAAGGTCACACGGCTGCTGGAATGCAAAGAATGGGAAGGAACCTGGCGGTCAGGGCCAGAATGTGGAATGGTCGGTTGGACTTTTGGAGGCTGTGCAGCCGAGCTGAGAGCCCAAGGTTGCAGAAGGGCCAACCAGCACCAAAGCCTGCTTACCTTCCTCCCAGAAGCATTGCCCAGGGCGCTGTTGGTATCAACATTTGGTTCACCGATAAGGCCAGGTCACACTCACTGTTTTTTGACTTTCAGATCTCACGTGGTCTTCTCTAGTGTGTTTGGAGGCTTTCTCTCATGGCTGCGCCCCCATCTCCCTACTGCTGGGGACTTTCATTCAGCTATGGGTGATGCACAAGTGATTCTGTCCATTACATGACACAGAAACTCTCCTAAAAACATGCCCTGCATGTTGACATGTGAGCCGCCAGTGGGTTCAGAGCACGCCCGCCTCCTCTCAGGCCGCCTGGGCACATTTGGTCCAGGAAGTGCAAGGTGTTGAAACCTCATTCAAATGTCTCTGGCTTCTCTTCTTAGCTAAGCATATAGCATGATGTATTGCTCGCACCTTTATTTTCCAATTACTTCAAACACCTGACTCCAAAAATTGTCTTCAAAAGAATGACACATGATGACAAAAACTGGAGCTTTCCATTCTGCCAACATGGAGGTAGCAGTAGATAGCAAGAAATTGCTTAGAAGGGTAAAGACATCAAATGCTCTTTCATTAAAGGAATACATTTTAAAAGAATATTCCAACTATTTAGAGATGACCGTAAGGTATTCTAGCAGCAGCATAAAATTTCCTTTGCTTTAAAGAAAACCCCACGTTTACAACTCCATGTCCACAAAGCTCAGACTCGGGCAGGCAGGTACACTGCTCAAGTGTGGTGACCTCTTGGTCTATATGCCCCCTCTTTTGTTTGATTTTCAACTTCTGGTGACAAAAAATCAGATATACATAAAAATATAAAGAACAATCGAATGACCTGGTCCCTCCACCCCCAACTTGAACAGTTACCGTTAATTAACCAACCTTGAGTCCTCTCTCCCTTACCCACTCCCAGTCCAGTTTGAAACTAATGCCAGGCTTTTATCATCTGTAAATATCTAAAAATGTCTCTTTTTTTTAAAACATAACCACTGTACATCATATCTTTTAAAAATTGACAATACTGAATATCAACTGGTCTCATCAAATTTCTGACTGTCTCAGTAAAAATTTGTTGGCATTGTTGTTGGAATCTGGACCCCAAGCAGTCCACACACTGAGGGGCCAGAATGTCCTCCGGTGTCTTCTTGTATCTATAGGTCACTTGTAACTTATCTGTAGAAGCAGCAGCTTATGGTCCTGCAGGGGTTGCCAGTCTGGGTGGCATCCTCATGTGTCCACCTTCCCTCACTGCTTCTGGCCTTGTCAGCGTCTATGCTGTTGCTTTGTTTGCGGCTTGTTTGCTGGGGCATTTCCTCACTGGCAGAGGCTAGTCCGGCAGGAGGCACAGGCGCTCACCCTCTTCTTGTGATGTGGCAGCCCTGCCAGCTGAGGAAGCAAGCACTGCCAGTGCACCCTGAGGTTGGCACCGCCCTGGTGATAGCCAGGCTCCCCTCTGTGTCTTGTGGGCCAGAGGCTTTAGGAAAAGTCTTTCATTTTCACAGCCTTTAGTTTTTTGGTTTCCTATATAAGAACATTGAAAGGTCCCAAGTAGCTAATGAAATTGTCTTCCTATGTGGGTTCCAATGGTGATTTCAGTTGTCATTGATTTTGCAAATGTTAAAATAAGGAATGTTGATTAATACCATTCTTAATTATTAGAATCTTCCCCCCAAAGGCATGTTTAGCAACTCAAACAGGCATGGAGTCGATAGCTACAGTGAGGTCGCGTTGTAACCGGGTGACATCATTGTAACTAACGCTCGACAGCACCGGGCTGCTGTCACCACCTACACTTCTCTTTTAAACACTATCAGACATGCGAAGAGGTCCATGGGCCAGGGTGAGACCTCCTCATTGGGGTTCATCTGCTGAGCGCCTGCGAGCATCAGCAGAAGCATCTTGGGGGCAAACGTTTGAACCAGGTTCTGAAGGAGGAACTCCATTGGATCACAGCTTCCAGCCAAGCGTCCTGGGAACGGCGGTGGCTGAGTGTGGGGTCTGGGGCAGCAGTCGGAGAAGCTGGGAGACAGACAAGCCAGAGTAAAGCACACCGACCGAGCCAGGGTGTCTGGGCCGCCTATGTCTCCCCTCCTCCTGGGTGGTATCCAGGAGGAAAGGATGGGGGAGCCCTGTTCCTTGGAGATGGGGAGGGTGACAGGAGTGATTTAGAGAATTGACAGAGCTGGTGACTAACTGGTGTGGCCTCCAGGGATAAACTACTGGTCTGCCTTAACTCTGGAGCTGGCCTGGTTTACTTGTGTTTGCATATTTTGGTGCCTTTTTTTGAGGGGAGGGGGTGGTAATCCGTCTAATTTTGAGCTCCAGATCTCTAACATGCCAACATTAAATAGGAAAAACATTTTATTTGAAATTATGTTACACTTTTAACTACTATTGAAAATTTTGTTTTAGAGGTTCTGAGTAATTAAAAACAAATAGGCAAGTATAACTCATCCACTAAGCGTGATCGGATCCATGAAAGACAGACTTACTTTTGGGTTTTTAAAGCACCTACAGTTTAAGAGACTCCCCCCATTTTCACTTTTGATTTAAATAGATTATGATTTACATAAAAAAACAAAAGTCTTTCATGGGGGTATTTATAGATTTTGTGATTTGATTACCTTTAAACATAGAAAGGGATGGCTTCATGGTGAAAATTTTGTTTAGTTTTACAATCAATTGATAAATTGTTCCCACTCTTGAGATAGATGTAAAGGTGAACATTTGAATTAACATTTATCAATTCCCACCCACTCTAAAAATGTATATTTTAATATTTTTCACCTTGAATGTTGGTGTTTGCTAGCTAAGCCTGGACCCATGCTGAGAGAAGGTTGCCTCTGCAAGCTAAAGTACAGTCACAGCTCTGGGTTTTGACCCAAGAACAAAATTCAAGTTTGGTGAGAGTCCCTTGGTAAAAATTTAAACTTCTAACCATTACACTTTATTTAAAATACTTCTTTTTAAAATAACACTTTTTCCTCTATAGAGAAATAAACCAGGGAATTTTTATTTTGATAGAAAATTTGGAAAACAAAATACAAGAAAATTTAAATTATAAGTTCACTTCCAAGGAAACTACCGTTAACATTTCATTATCTGTCC